GCATTTTGCTCCCCATTGGTCACGTATCTCCTCCACTGTGTGATGCCTGCGCCATCTATGCTGTTTGAGCCCGCTGGGTAGCAGCAGCCTATGGTGACAGCAGGGTCGCTCTGACAGTAAATCCCAGAGGAGAGCTCTCCACGCAAAGCATTCTTGGATATATCTTGCCACTTCTGAGGCCTTTCTTTTCTTCTGATACACTTCGTAGACACTTTTTCTTACCCTCGGTCAGATTCAAAGAACCGTGTTGAGAAAGGTGAGATTCAATGACTATCTGAAACAGTAGCTCTACACAGTGACAGTGCGCATGAGCAAAAAACATAGCTTATGGAACAAGCACGTAGGACGGCCTTCCGTAAACATACCACCAGAATGATTGATAATTAGGAGGACCAATTATTTAGATTATCCATGTGGAAATAAAAGATTTTCCTCTATACCTTTAAACTAAACATTTTCAAAATTAAAAGCTAAACTAAACTAGCTTGCAAACGCTAAAAATAAAAGAACAAGTTTTATCGCCTTTAAATTCGCAAATTGGGGGAACAAGCTATTGGTCTTTAAGCTCACTGTTACAAACTGTTTTCCAGCTGTATAAACCAAATGAGATAACGGGACAGGATCATGGAAATTCTGGGATTAAGTTCAATCATACGGAATTTAATTTTCTAAAGAAGACGTTAAACCGATAATTCATGGTTTTGCCTAGTATATGAAGAAGGTACCTCGAGAAAAGTTTTTCTTTATTTCTTTATTTTTTTGGGGGGGAATTTCAGGCTTCCAACTGTCAGGAACACGATTTATCAATTTTTAAAAAAAAATTTTTTAATTCTTTTTTTTTTAACCACAAACTCCTTCCAAACCCAAGACGGTTCCAGCTTGTGACTTGCTCTTGTTCCAGACACATTATGACCCCTGAGAGGAAACAAGGTCTTTCCTGTTCCCAATGACATCTGTTGGTTGTCAGACAGGTCATGGGGGGACGCTACAACAGCTCTGACGTTTGGCCTCTCACAGGGAACAGGCAACAGAGCCAGAAAGAAAAATGGTAAAAGTACATGTGGTGAATTTAATCTGCTTTATCAAAAAAGCCAACGATCACAGGACATCTCTATCAAGCTCTGGACTCAGATCACTGATCCAAAAGCGATTAGTCCTTGAAACGTAATTACAATATAAACAGAAGTTGGGTTTCAAACATAATTTCTATCGCACGGCACATTAGACACCGACATCACAGACCCACAATTTACACTTTGGGTAATTTATCTTACTACAGTATTTAGTCCCTATGGGGTTTTGTGGCTGCAATAAAGAGAAAAAAAATAAATTCACAGATTTTCTCCCTTTTCTTTTTCCGTTATATTTCAGATAATCAGTTGAACTTAGGTGAAACCAATGTAACCTGAAAAAATATTTAATACAGTTTTCAAATGATGATCGTACTCAGTGAAAAAAAACAAAAACCTATTTATATAAAAAATGTATTTCTAAATCAGTTACATAGATTAGGATGTTTGTATCATTCTTTCATTTGTTTTTTTGAAGTCAATAATGAAAATATGATAAACATTTTTTATTAAACGTTATAAAAATGATGTAGAAAAATGGAGAGCATTTTTTTTTATTTAGTATTTGCTCTATACTTTGCATATAAAGAAAACAGATTACAAGCATATAGATTACTTTATTTTTAAACTTCCTCTGGGCTCCGAGGTAATGAGAGTTTGAGTCACAAGAGGCAAGTAAAAGAAGACAGGAGAATCATGCTTGATTTATAATCACTGCACTGAACATGGTGCAAGGGTGCATGTAGCAAAAGTGACGCAATCATGACATCCCTGCCCCTGAGAGCGGACTGTTCGCACAGCCCTTACCTCTGTTGCACATGTCCCAATTTTTGTTAATTGCTGCTGACCGAGTGCAGAGCCTCATTCCTAATGGGATTATATTAAGTTGCCCTGCACAAACAGGTTTGCCTGTAATCATCAAATGGCAAAGAAGGTTCAAGTGGAACAGTTTGGTTAAATATAGTGTTGTTCCTGATTATTCTGTCATCAAAAAAGACAAATAGAAAATATTAAATCAGTTTCAAGGGTCATTTCATTTGCCAAGCTTGAGACACACAAAGACTTCCGTTTCCATCACCTAAAGCATAAATAAAGTCTGAAACTACAAACCCACGGTATACACTGCATTTAGCTTTTATTTAGTAAAATAAAGTTGTTTTTCTTAATATCTGTCAACCCATACAGGCTTCACAGGCATAGCCCCGTCTCGCTGTAGCATGCCGTCTCTCTTTGTGTGCAGCAGAGGCCCGTACCATGAAGCGAGCTCAACCCAGCGGGATTCCTCCAACAATGGCAATCAGGATCAACGGTACCATGAAGCTGGTTATCAACTTGCAAATTCAACCCAGCTGGAACTGTTCATGAATCTCTGAATGCACATGTATAAAGGGGAACGTTCTAGGTGAAAGACCTATCACAGTAATGAGCGCAGAAGGTTGAGCTTTCTGAGCTTTCTTGTGTGAGAGACCAAAACTCATCTTACAGAAACTTGAAGAGGAAAAGAAAGTCTCAATGACGGGGCAAAGGATTGATAACGGAGTAAAAGTGCAAGTTAAACATCAGTGTAATCTAAAACAGCCATGCATCCCAAACACTATTAATTGCATCCCATCCTCCAGCTGTAACCCCTCTGTAGTGAGGAGGACCTTGCAGCAGATAAAAAATGAACACCAAAATATAATTTCATCTGGTTAGTTGGACTTTTTACTTCAATAATGTTTGAGTGACAAAAAAGCTGGAACCTGATTCCACATTGCATCATATTAATACGAGAAGTGAAAATTCTGAGTGAATTCATCCAGACTTTTAAAGCTGTGAACTTTTTTTTTGTACCTGGCGATTTACCGTTAATCCCCCATTGTTGCAGCTTCAGATCATTTTCTACCCTTCTCATTGATACCGTTGGAGCAAACAACAAAAATATAATTTTAATCCTGATGTTGGTAATAGGATGAATATGACTTTCTAGGTAATCTAGGTGTAAATCCCAGGGAGAATTGCAAACTCCAATATGTTGTTATAAAACTACAGTAATGTTTGAACGCAAGCACATCTCCAGTGATCTAAGCAATAAACGTGAAACTCAATTATTTATCAAAAGATGGTTTTATGGATACAATATTTTATTTTATAGAGCTACACTGAGATTTCACAACTTCGAGTATGACTGCATATTTAGAAGTTGCCATACTTTGTGACATGGTAGTAATATCTTGTTGAATTTTTGTTTGTTGACACAAAAATGACTAATTCTGGGAAGCATGTTAGATTGCTCTTGAGGGTATCTAATTCATAGTTTTGGAACTTGCTTGGAGCTTAAAGCTCCATCAAGTTAAGAAATTTATGGAACGCAAAAGTGCTCAAGAGACCAACTTCAGCTTCGTGCTCAACAGCTCTTTCCGCCACAGCTTCACTGCCAACATCATGAAGAGTAATTATCATTCCGATCAGAAGGAAGACTAGTCGCTTTTTGGGATGAGTCAATAAGGGTGCAGGTTCAACCCGTTGACACTGACTGGCCGACAGTCATTCAGTTGAACATCCAAATGAATCCACAATGATCTCTAGTTTGGGAATGCATGTTTAAATTAAATATTATTTTTTATTTATTTTGAAATACATTTAATAATTAACTGAAAACTTTACTTGCATTTAGTTGTTATTTCACAGTTTTATCAACATGTTAAATATTCATGTAAAACATATATAATAAATTTAAGCAGATATTCATTTCACAATAATTTATTTAGTTTTGAGCAGATTTTTATTCCAATTCTTTGCATGTAATCATAAACATCATGGATCAATGCCACCCTTCATCCAACATAGATTAGTAAAGAACAATGCTTTATCTACGGTTCCTGCTTTATTAACAGGGCTCAACCCTACAATTCAATTCTCAAAGCATCAGGAAAGAGTTATCAGTTTAACAAAAGGTCTTACCACAGGTTTCTGCCCAGCTTCCACTGTGGCGGAGATACCGAGAGCCTTGGTGATGTCCTCCAAAGGTACAAAGTCTCCTGGTGAATCCTGGATGAAGTGGAGTAACACCTTTTCTCCACCTATACACGGAAAGAAATAAGATTAACTTTATTAAAAGACAGGATTCCTTTCAGCTGTTCAGTAAATAAAAAATTAGTGTCTGCCTGATGGTGTTCGGCAGTATCTTCCCGTCTTGAAGCATCAGATAATCTGAATATATAGAGAACTTAAAGTGGGATTCTGCAGCTGGTGGACATATCTAGCTTCATGCGAGATTTCATAGAGGGCTTTAAATTAGAGAGGACGTAGGAGCCAACCTGCAGTCCTGACCTCCTCTCCCGTGAAAGTTTGTGGGAGGAGTAAACATGGCGTTAGCTGATTATACTTTAGTGTCTATAACAACCAAAATGGCTGACTTGCTTTAAATGGCACTTAAGTGGAGGATGTTGTTTTTCCAGGTGGATCATCAAAATAAGTCGTCCTCTAATTGTCAATCATTCTGGTGATATGTTTCCGTAAGGTCGTCCTATGTGCTCGTCCCCATTTTCTATTACTTGTGGTGAGTCTGACATAGTGGAAAAATTGTCAATCTTGTTTTGGAAAGTAAGCTTGCATGAGCGAAGCAAAAGCAACTTGTAAACAGAGCGTACACGAGGAGAAATGGGCCTTGTGCAAGCTTTCACACGCGTTTAATAGTCAGCTTTATGCAGCTATCCAATAGGCGTTCCCCCGTTGGGAGTGGGTCCAGGGTTGTCTGTGTGCATTTATTTTTCAATTGGAGATGGTGGGTCTTTTAAAAAAAACTGCCAAAATCATCCACTATAAGGAAAGGGATACCATTCATAGTAATGTGTGACCAAGCAGGTATCCAGCATGACAATGAAAGAGTATCCAGATTGATGGGGATCTGTATGCTTTGTGAGTTATGTTTAAAAATAAAAATAAAGTTGTTTTTTTTTTATCTTTTTTCCTCCAATCCAACAAGAAGGCACCAAACCAGAGTTTATAGCAGAATGATCTGTTTGAGATTAGCAAAAAAAAACAGCTCACATTGTCAAAACTGCGGTTTCTTTTTTGTTTTTCAGACAGATCTACTTTCGAACAGAATCGGGTTAAAGGCTTTAGATGGCAGACAAAGGAATTTTAAAGTGGCCCTATGACAAAAAAATGAAGTGCACGGAAACTTGTAGTTTTCTTTATGTTTATAATTATTCTGTTCTTATAATTATAATTTCAACGTCACTGCAAAATAAAATAAAAAATGTAATTTCACTATCTGTTATATAGTAAATCTAGAGTATCAAACATTATATATTGATAATGAGATTCTATAATATTTTTATGTTAAGCTAAAGCCCATTTGCTTTGTTCCCCCATTGTTTCCCCAGATTTACCTTTTTCCAGCTCAACAATATTGTATAAAATATACTGTTTTACTAACGTCTTTTTCAAAATATTCACCTTTGTTTAGTGCAGTTATATTTTCAAACATTACCCTAGCGTAACTTATAACCATTTCCTGGTTACATCCCAGCATAAATTAACATGCAGTGAGAAGTTGGGCGGTTTCCAAGAAGGAGTTTAAGTGGAATAAAGCTGTAATTGTGGAGCCACACAGGACAGCGCGACCTGTGGTTTAAACTCCTTTCTATCAGGGCAAGCTGCCCTGAAGCATCATTAAAGACCATCGGCACATTAACTGAAAGTAGCAGTGAAGCAGTCTTCCATTTTTGGCTCCTAGTGTTTATCTTGACCCTGAAAATTATCTGAATCAACAGGGAAATGATATGTTGATCTGATTTACCTGTTTAAAATAAATAAATAAATCCCTCCTTCCCATTTTAATGTGGAGAGGTTCAAACATATTAGTACATGACTTGTTAACTAAACATCAGACCCTTTATATGAAATCAAAGCTGTCCAAATTGTGACTTTTAAATAATTTTAGAGCCAAGAAATAAAGAGAAGGTAGTGAACATCCCTGCTGAGCATTGACCTGATTACAGTTACAATGTGAAACACCACTGCCCCCTTGTGGATATATAGGAAAATTGAGTTTCCAAATTATTAACAAGACAGACAGAGAGACTACCTTTTGAAACAATGATCATGCCACCACTCTGCAACAGATCTCCTGAAAGGTTTCCCTCGATTCCTGCAGCACTAGCCTGAGGATAGCAGACAAATCTTGGTCAGAAAAAGTTGATATCACAACACACTCTATAGATCTAATGACTGTGGTAGAATGATAATATTATAAGCTCTAAATAACAGAGGACATTTTTTTCCCAGTTTTTGTATGTATGATTTTTTATCTATAAATAAAAACAGACTACTTATCTACCTTTGAGGCTATATCTCTCACTTTCTTCCCTAGAGCAGCAGGAAGCACGCTGACAGCATTGTACCTGAGGAGGAAAAAGATCATTATTTTCACTAGAGCTAAATGGGGTAAAAAATTCAACAACAAACAAAAAGAAAGAAAAAACACACAAAAACCTTAATGGAGATTTAGTGTTTTGTAATTCACCACAAGAAGCTACCAAATGTTAGCACATTTCAATAATTTATCCCCTACATTCTGTTCCATTACGACCTACATACAAATCCTTCTGCAATGACTAAGAAACTTTGTCAGGTTTTGTTACATGACAACCAAACACATCTCTGTATTTTATTGTGTGATGTATTTGGCAAGCTTGAACAAAATTGAAGAAAAAATAAATTTCTTTCATAGATTTCTTAACTATATAATGCCCTTACATCTAGCCCCCTACACTCTAATACCCCCGAACAAAATAAAATACCTTCACATCTCAGATGCTAGCAACAGGTTCCACCTGTGTGTCACTTAGTTCCAGTAAAAATCCAGCTGTTCTGTTAAAAACCTGAGATGTTTGCCGTATTTGTAAATGACCAGCATCATGGAGGACCAAGGTACAAAGCCGACAGTTCAGAGATACAATTATGGAGAAAGTTTAAATCATAAAACCAAAAGAAACATTTAAACTCTGGAGTAGCTGCAGAGATCCACAGCTCAGGTGGGGCGGCCCATTAACTAGACAATACAGGATTTTCCATCTCCAATACGATGCTGGTATTGGAACTTTGACAGACACAATATCAGCATGAGTCATACATGACAAATATATAACGTGAAATATTTGAAAAGCTTGAAATGATATTTCATATAGATATAATAAAAGCTGAGAACAGCACGTATGAGACCAACTGAGCTATTTATTAATAACCAATAGGTTAAAAAATGATAACAGACCTGGAATGTATCAGTATGGTAATATCTGAGATTTTAGATTCTGATTTTTTTTTTTTTTTTTTGGCTGACAGACTGATATCTGATATCAGTATTGGACTGGACATTACTAGTGTTAACAGGACACTGGTTAGTAGTACACTTCACAAGTTTATGGATGGGGGATAAGAAGATAACCATTTATCTAAGAAAGCTGCAAGAGTTTATATTTTCAGTATACAACATCCCAAATAGAACAGAAGTGGAAGAAAGTGTTTTAGTGAGATCAGAGTAATATTTAACATTTAAGGCCTTATCAAAAATTATATACATGCTGGAAGAAATACTGCTGCACATCATACTAGCAAGTGCGGGTATCCGTTACAACTAATGAAAAGTAATGCTAGAAGAAAACCAGCTAGACACTAGAAAACCACAGAGAGGTGTGAAGGTTCACCTTTTAGAAGGACCCCAGCCTGTAACATCCAGCCAGAGCTAAGATTACCAATTCATGTAAATACAAACTCAAACTTCCCCTTTTGACAAAGCTTATAGTTAGAGGGGCTCAAGTTATCCAGTGCTATCTCTTTAGTTATGCTGCTTTAGGCTTAGATTGCTGGAGAACATGGGAACCCCTTTTCATCAATCTCCTTCATTCGATCTCTATTCTCCCATTCTCCAGATTGTGTAATCTTTATCTCGAAAGTTATGCTCTCTCTGCTTTTTCTCATCATAGTAGCTCCATCTGGTCTTTTCCTGTTTGGATGTGACACCATCCTGGAGAGAAAGATAAGCTGTGCTTCTGCCATCAAAAATCTTTGTTAACAGATGTTGGAGCTTGGCCTGTTTTTCAGTGTAGTGCCGTTTCTCTGATTGTGACTAATTATATGTGCTCTCTTTTTTATCATCTGACATGTGAGTTGCCTCTGAGCTCGTCTGCCTTGCTGGGCGTTTCCTGTGGAGCTGGTTGACAGTTGTCTTTTGTTTCTATGCTTCTTTCTGTATCTCTGCTTCTGTCTCCTTGAACCCCAGTCGGCCTCAGCAGACGGCCGCTCACACTGAGCCTGGTTCTGCTGGAGGTTTCTTCCTGATAAAAGAGTTTTCCTCTCCACTGTCGCTACAAGCATGCTTGGTGCAAGGGTTTTCCTTAGAGTCGATGAGTAAATGCAATCAACTGGTTTTCCTCAGATAGAAAACTTTGAAACAATTTGACTGTATGATCTGGTTGAATTCTCTCTGTAAAGTTCCTTGACATGACCTGTGTTGTGGTCAGCAAATGCTCCAAAGCAGTGGAGGCCAAACATTCTAAATAATGTTTGGCTATATTTGCACCTAAATGTGGTTTAACAAAGTGTTAACTTCATAAATACAAATGACACATTTTAGGTGCTTTAATTTAAAAAAATAAAATAAAAATAATAATAATAATAATGAACAGAAAGCTGTGATTTTCTTCCTTTTACTCTTTATATTAAATCAAAAATGTTGACATGAAATCAAAATAGAAGTTTATGGTTGTTTGTGATAAGGTTCAAGGGTGTTCAGAGCCAAATTAAAGGGGAGTCTAAGACATCGTAAGTTCATAAAAACAAAAAACAAACAAACAAAAAAATCAAACTGTATTCATCTTTACATTAACATAAACTCACCTTTTAAATCCCAAATCCTTGTAACACGACTTATCTTCATCCACATAAATGGCTGAAAAAACAGTGACAGATGAATTTTTACACACCTTGTGGAAAAAGAGTGGCAGTACAGCTGTAGTCAGGGAACAAACTTTCCAAAAAAAAGCCATTATTGTCACACTAGACACTGAGTGGGTGTGTTATGGGGGGGAAAAAATGATCATCATGCTGATGGAGATTCTCAGTCATCAAGGTCATAGTCATTACAAAAAAATTAAAAAAAAAAAAAACAACAAACCAGTGGACTTTGTTTTCCATGTTTGAATACGTTTCACTTCCCATCCGGGAAGCTTTTTTAATTTAAAATGTCTGGATTAGCCTTGAGTTCCAGGCTTTATAGAGTAGCCCAACAAAAGCCTTGTTATGGCTTTGTTGGATTGAATCCAAAAAAACAGGTCCAGCCCTTAGTAACGGGGCATCATTGAGGTCTTTGTTGGCCTACAATACCCGATACTGGCCCATGCCTCTGAAAAGGGAGTTGTTAGAGTCATTGTTGGTCTGGCTGATCAGGCGTGATGTTTTGCTCCCCTGCATAGCGATGGGGTCGAGATGATAGATCATCTCAACCCCATCACTATGTCGATTACTTAAGGGTGGACCTGTTTTTGATTCAAATTGCATGTTTTCTAAGCATGCTCTATAAAGCCTGGAACTCAAAGCTTTTTAATTGACATTTTTAATTGGCAGAGGTTTCTGGATGGGAATCGAAATGTCTTCAAACTTGAAAACCGAAGTCCAGTGGTTTGTTGTTGTTTTTTTTACTTTTTTTGGAATGACTATGACCTGGATGACTGAGAACCTCCACCAGCATAGTGAACAGACTTGTTTTCCCAGAACACACCCACTCAATGTATACTGGGACAGTGATGGCTTTATGTGAATGAGCTCTAACCTCATTGGAATGTCATCCCAGATCCAACATCCACAATGCATTTGTATCAGTAACTCATTTTTAAGTGTCATGAGATAAGAGATGCTTACAGCCTTTAAAAAAGCCTCCTTCCTTAAACTCTTTGAGGCCGAACATCTCTGGTCCGATTCCCACCAAGGAGACCCCGTTGGCCCTGAGGTCAGCCTCCAGCTTGCTGATCTCTGACGCCATCCATCGGCACACCTGGCACCCGAACCTCCGCAGGAAGAAGACCACCACAGCCTGATCTTGCCAAAGAGTCCGAAACTCGATTTTCTGAAACAGTCAGGATAATGAAACTGAGGAAATTGTGACTCACAACAGAACAAATATGCTTGACTTGTCAATGTAGACACCATGATTTACTGTCACGCCTTTACTCTCATTAGATAAATGTTATGTCACAACAAACTACCATTATGAAAAGCGATAACGAGCCAAAAAACATTTTCTTTGAATTAATAAAAATATTAAATTAAACATACAACATAAACACAATATTGAGACCAAAAGCAGCCCCGGATTAACAGAACTAATAAGCAAAAACGTCCGTCTCAAACGGAGCCTCCTTAGTCAGCTTACAGAGTTGGTCTCCGGATCCTTGATAAGATTTTGTCCAACTTTATCCAGATTGACTTTAGCCATTTTTCTACAGTATAAAGACTTTAAAATAAAGCCGGCTTCAGAAACAAACTAGCGGGACTCCTGAAATTCTCCTAAAACGCCCAATTCACTTGCACAACAGTTGCAAAACACTCTTTTCCGGTAACGCCCACTGTGTGGTAGCATCCAATCAAATACTAGTACTGCTGAACGATTGACGAATCAAAACGCGCGATCAAATGTTATGAGAAAGGGCTTACTGATCTCTTAACGCTGTGTTTTTTTCCTTTAACTCATCGCTTAAACTTTAACTGTTGCGTAAATAGTTTAAAATATGACATTTGTATAACGCACATTGCATAAGGTTTACTACAAGGGAACTCAAAGGTGATGGATTTTTATTGCCTGACCTTTGTTACCTGTTCTAGTTAAACAACATGTACATTTTGTAGCTGTCTAAATGTCCAATGCATGGACCCTTTTTCTTTTAGATCCTTTGGTAACTATGTAGCTGTTTGGTTAGCAGAAATTTTGAACACAATTCCAAATTCCTTCAACAGAAAAATATTATTGCTATATTTCCAAGCTATATTTGCTTTGCTTTGATTTCCTCTGCTATATTACTGAAATTATGGCATAAAGACGAATAAGCTTTACCAGAACAACAGAAACTGAAACAACAATGAGAATAAATTATATTTAAAAAAATAAATCACAACAACAACCTATTATAATAATAGTCTAAGATGATTTAGCATTCACAATAATTTACAAGTTCAGAGTACAAACTTTATTTCAAACTTAAATTAATTAATAAAAAACACAAAATAAAGAGATGCAAATAATTCTAAATAATTTTAAAATTGTTATTATTAATATTGATAATAATAACAACAGAAATTGGGGAGGAGTAGAATATTTACAGATGAAAGTATAACGGCCAAGAACCTTCATGCAACATTTAAGTCTTTTATTGTTCAGACATAGGAGGATGTAGTCTCCAAATCTCATTAAAAATAATCACATACCATTTTACACAACAATAAAAATGATTGATTCATATTCAAACGTCCATTATCACGAGTCGAAAAAAATACACACCAACAAATGCTATTAATAAATAATTATACCAAAACACTAAGACCAAAAATAAATGTGAACAGACTTGATGCATTACTTATAATGCTGATTTAAAAAAAAGAATACAAAATCTGTATCATTTCAGATTCAGATGTCGCTATATTAGTTCATTACACTCAAATACATGGTGGCTTTTAATCTCTAAATTAAATGTTTAATGTTACAAAAAAAAACTTAATTATATTAAGTACATTTTAAGATCTGGTTCAAATATTTAATGGGTGATTTAAATACGCTGTCATAGTGGTTTTTTGCACATGAGTGGATAAAACCATCTGCTTGGAATCATCCTAAAACACATTTAGACATATGAGTTAGAAGGTTGTCCTAAAGATACATCAGTGTTCCTACTGAGACTATAAGGCTGCTAGTTGTAATAAAGTACAATGTGTCACTGTTGTTGCTTGAAATTGTATCTCAGCAAGTATGAAACAAAATTTGTTCTAGAATAATGAGAGCCTGTTATAATTAGTCTTGGTGAAAAGGGACTATACGTAGACAAAGATACAAAACATTCAGTTAATAGATAGATAGATAGATAGATAGATAGATAGATAGATAGATAGATAGATAGATAGATAGATAGATAGATAGATAGATAGATAGATA